ACACCAAAAAGAACACAGAAAGCTTGAAAAAGTACAAAAAAGAGCAACCAAATTCATATTAAAGACTGAGGAGAATTATGAGGCCCGTCTAAAGAAGTTAAATTTGATGTCATTAGAAAATAGAAGATTTTTGGCTGAAGTTACATTTTTATATAAAGCCCTCAATGGAATTATTGATATTAATATTGACTCTTATGTTGATTTTCATTTGGATGCTGACCATTATTTATTTAGGAAATATGATAATTTATATTTAAAGAAGAAATACGCAAGAACAAATCCTCACAAATATAGTTTTTTTCACAGGATAGTTGATTCTTGGAATCTTTTGCCTTTGATACTCGTAGAGCAGCAAGTGTAAATATTTTTAAGGCAGGAGTTAAGAAGTATTTAGTGGATAATATATCTAATTAATAATTCTGGGAAATTTTTATGATAATTATTTCTAGTTTAAAACATATGTGATATTATTAGCGTATTAACTTTGGTGATCTGTTTTCATATGGGGTCCTGGACTCCTTTGCGGATTACCCATATGGCGTTTCTTTTCTTTCCGCTTTTACTTTATAACTTTTATTGTTTTATCTGAGCCATTAAATTGTAATAAATAAATAAAAAATATAAATAAAAATAAAAAATCTAGTTGTTTGTTGCTCGAGCCTAGGACTTACAAACACTGGTTGGACAGTGACTTTCAACTTAGAACTTAGATTGTTCAGTTGTTTGTAATCTAAGTTCTAAGTTGAACGTCACTGTCCAGCCAGTGTTTTTACGCCCTAAGCTCGAGCAACAACTTAAGCGACACGAGATTAAACCCCCTATTGTCAACCAACAATGTCTCGTCTATGAATTTAAATGTAACCTGTGCGATGCAAGGATATGTGGGTTATACACGTGGTCACTTACACGAGCGCGTAGAAGGGCACACTAGAAAGTCATCGATTTACAAACATTATAACCTCCAACATAATAGTGAAATGCCTGAATGCTTCATTGAGCAATTTCACACCACGAAATGTATCGGCAAAATTGATTGCCTCGTTAAAGAAATGTTATACATTCCCAGGCATAAACCAACACTGAACGTGCAAACAGATTCCATCCGCGCCAAGGTGTTTGTTTAGGCCGTTTATTGTAATTTATGCTTATCTTGAACTTTGCATTAGTTGCATGCTAGTTAACTTGTGTCTTGATATAGGAGTCATGATGATTCCGAAACGTTAAGCAGCAGTATATCTTTCCTGGTTTTTTATATCGAAATTCATGGAAAAGTTCACCAAAACTATTTTTTGTAACTCATACTTCCC